TTTTCTTCATTATCAGAACTATTTCAAGGTGTTCTGTACTTCTTAAAACCTGACAGCCCTAAAAAGATTAAGAGAAAGAGCCAGGTGGGAGTAGCTCACACCTGTAATTCTAGCTACTCAGGAAGCAGAGATGGGGAGGATCATGGTTCGAGGCCAGCCCAGACAAAAGTTCAAGAGACCAATGGTGGTGTGCACCTGTCATCCTAACTCCTTGAAAAGCATAAATAGGAGGATACAGTCCAGGCCGGACCAGACATAAATGTGAGATCCCATTTGAAAAATAACTAATGCAAAAAGGGCCACTGCCTGGCAAGCCTGAGGCCCTGAGTTCAAACTCCAGTACTTCCAATAAGTAAGTAAGTAAATAAATAAATAAATAAGGAGAAGAAGAGAAAAACAGTAAAGAGTCTTACGGGTACAAATGATCATTATGTGACTTCTCTGTTTTGGTCACATTTGATAAAAAGAGTCCTCAAAGTGGGTATCAGACCTGTGGCATTCCCAGTGCATTAATACCAGCATAAGGAACGAATGCTGAATCATTCCAGCTGTTTTTGCATTTAAGGAATTAGTTCAGTTAAGAACTGAGCTGGCAGTTTGAAATTCCGTGGGGGAGGAGAAAATAATTAATAAACATGATCAGACTGAATAAAGCAGAAAACGGATTTTGGCTTGAATAGAATCTGGAAGTTAAGATAATTAAAGCAGGTTCTAGTCTCAAGTTCCTCAAAGATGAGTTTCACTTCTAGGTAAGAGTTTTGGAAAATATAGCTACAGATATACTGGGATTTTTAAGAAAATATCTATCCTGGCAATTTTCTTCTTAAAAAGTCCGCATAACTTTTCCGATGGTATTGACCTCAGCAGAGCCTGTTTCTTTCTGTCCAGCTGTGAGTACGGAGCATTTCCTGAGCTTCTGTCTTACAATAGCATCTCAACTGGGAACGGGGTGGAGGGGGTGGTGGTGGTGAAAAAGGACTTTTTTCCATTGCAAGTGATAGAATCCATCCCAAATTAGCTGAAGCAAAAAATAAAAATAAAAATGTAAAGGTGGGTTGGTGTCTTCTTTTGTTTCCTGTTGCTATAATTAAATACCACAGAATTATAAAGTTAAAAAGAGTGTTTACCTATTCAGGTGCTGAGGGCCAGGGAAACTCAAGATTGGATGGCCATATTTGGTGAGGTCATTCTGGCTGATGTGGACTCTCTGCCGTCCTCAGATGGTCCAGGGCATCACATGCACAGAGAGTGTCCTTGCTCAGGTGTCTCTTTTCTTATAATGCCACAGACCTTTTGCATTGAGACCCCATTCTTTTGGCCTCATTTAACCTTAATCATCTCCCAAAATTCCCATTTCCAAATAAGTGTCTATCATCTTAATACCTCACAGTGGCACTGGTGGCTCATGCCTATAATCCTAGCTATTTGGGAGGCAGAGATCAGGAGGATCGAAGTTTGAGGCCAGCCCGGGCAAAATGAAAGCAAGACCCTCTCTCAAAAAAAAAAAAAAAAAAAGCCCATCATAAAAGAGAACTGGCAGAGTGGCTTAAGTGGTTGGGCGTCTGCCGAATAAGCATAAGGCTCTGAGTTCAAACCCCAGTATTGAGAAAAAATGAGGCTAGTCTGAGTCCCAGGCAATCTGGATTATACAGCTATGGGGAGAGACCTTGTCTCAAAAAACAATTTTTTTTCCAAACCCTAGTGGGTTTGCTTCAACCGCATCTACCAGCACACTTCTCTCCCTTCTCCTCTAAACTTGTAACCTAGTATTTACAGAATTCTAGAATTTTCCAAGTTGGATGATCCCGCCACAGGCGAAGCCTCCAGGTTTCCCTTGCTCCCAAATCCACAAAGGTGTCTGCCCTCCTCAGTAGGCACCTGTCTTTTTTGGTGGTAGTATATTCCTGTCTATCACACACACCAAAGTTTTTGGGGGAGAACAATTTTACCACCCCGTGTAGTGATTTCATTTTTTGCTTGTGTTTTATGCATGCATATATAGATATTTCAGATCATAAATTTATTACCGGCCCTTTCTCTTTCCAGCATGATCAGCTAAAAGTTGTTTTTGCCTAGGATAAGTGGGAACGAACCATGGGGTCTTTCTAGGTTCCCTTTAGCTTTAGGATTTTAAAGAAAAAATAGCTTTGGTGTAAGCACTGTTACTTCCAGCACGGAGGAGCGGCATGTTCTTCCCTCCTGCCTCTTTGTCCTGCCCTTCTCCATGTTGTACTCTGGACCTCTCTTTGACCGAGCTTTCTCTATGCTCCATCTCCCACCCCAGCCCACCCCCCAGCTTCTTCTCATTGTGAACTCATCAGAAGCCCACTAGGTCAGTGCCACTCATCTAATGTTTAATTCTATTCTGTCACAGTTTGTTTCGTTGTTGTTATGTGATTCTCATATTGTTACTTTTACTGAATCTGTGTCCTTGTCTTCACGACTGATCGCAGGCGCCCTGAACTGATCGCAGGCAACACTATACTGAATGTTGTCAACATCTGTCAGAAGCCCTGGCACAAATACCTTGCACACAGCAAGTTTCCCTGAATACCTGTGGATTTGACTATTAAGCTCTGTTTTATCAGGATTTGACCCATTCAACCTAGTAGCAGTCCCTAACCTCCTGGGTCACTCCTGGTTGGGAAAGTTGAGTGGAAGAGAATTCCTACTGTTAACTTGCATAGATTGCACTAGCCCAGTGATCACGAATCATCTGTTCATTGGTCTTTTCTACTAATTAAATAGCACAGACCAGTTGCCACTTTTATTTTATTATTGCAGTGTAGAAAATTTGTCCCAGCAGAGTTCAAATGAATAACGTCCCTCTCTCTAGGCTTGCCCTCCAGTCCCGGTCCCCTTGAGCCTTCACCTTCCTTCTCTTTGCTCCTGTACCAACTTTTCCTTCAGCCTTCTTGCCCTCAAAAAAGCCCTCCTCCTCGTTCTGCCAGTGTCTGCTCAGACAGAGTTCCTCAAGGGGCCCCTGGAGCCCCTGGACCCACTTGAGCCATACTTCCAGCCATCTTTTATTTTTATTCCCTTTTCTTCTTTACCTGATTTCTGTGTTTGCTAATCTATACATTAAGTTTTGTTTGTGTATTTCAAGAGTGCTTATATTCATTGTACAAAAATGAGAAAATGCAGGTAAACAGGAAAAAAAATGTTTGCTTTCTTTTGACTCAATATGCCACCTCCTAGAGAAAGCTACTGTCTATGAAGACACCCTGGAACAATTCATTCTGAGTTCTTTTCTATTCACATACTTTTAAACTTGCATTCTTACTGTTGGGAATGGCTTTTAATATCTATAAAAACTATTTTATAGACATCAAAACACTGGATGCCTGGATGAAAGAATCAATTTATTTAATCAGGCATACATCATGGGTCTCTTAGTTTATTTCCAATATTTTGCTTTTGGAAGTAATGTTACAATGAATGTCTGTGGCTAAATATCTTTGCACATTGTTTCTTAGGATGAATGCCTAAAAGTGGGATGGCTAGATCAAAGTAATAAATAAACAATTGTTTTTAACTTTGTACTGTGAAAACTGAAAATATATACAACTTCTGGGCTCAGTTGTAGCTCAGTGGCAGAGTGCTAGCCATGTAGCATGAGGGCCAGGGTTGGGTTCCCAGTATTCTTGCCCCAAAATATATATAATATAAATAATATAAAAGTATAACATAGTACAAAAACCATAATACAATACTACATTGAATCCTCATATTCAGTCCTGGCCATCTTTTCCATGTGTTCTCTCACCTACTTTCCTCAATTCCTGCATTATTTATAAAGAGATCCAAGACAGACATGCTGCCATTTCTAGTTCTTACCTGTCCCACCCATGACACAATGAGCACTGGCTATTTGAAAATGAAAGAAAAAGAAAAGTGAATTACCAGAAAAAGAGAAAAGGTGAATGCCATGTCACCTTATCCAGTGTGGTATTTGGGCTGTCCCCATCTTCCCTGCCGTATCTGGATTCAAGACTGGCCATTTGTCTCCTGGGTGGTGGTCTGCCCTCCCAACCATTTTCTTTTCTCTCCCTCTGTCTGCATAGGCATGTGCACTTTAAACCATTTCAGATCTTTCCAGACACATTGATCAAATTTATGCTTCTACCAGCATCATTGAAGAGTGCCCGTGCTTGTTAAATGTTTGGGTTCTTTCCTTCCCTCCTTCTTGCTCTCTCTTCCTCCCTTCCCCTCTCCTTTCCTTCTTACTCCCTCCTTGCTTCCCTTCCTCCCTTCCTTCTTTCCTGTCCTCTCTCTCTCTTTCTCTGGAGTGCATACAGCTAGGTAAGTGCTTTACCACTGAGCAACACCTGCCCTTTTCTTTCTTTCTTAACCTTTATAAACTCTCTAGACCTCCATTCTCAAAAAAAAGTCACTGTTCTAATAAGAACTTAATTTAGTTATGAATGAATTACAGTTTGTTTACTGAATGTTTGTATTGCCTTTTGCTAATTTTCCTGTTTGGGGGTTTGTCTTTTTAAAATTGTGTTCATTCATTCATGTTAATCTCATAGCACTGTGCTTGCATCCGTGAATTGCTGTAAGGACTTTTTCAGCCTCAGATAGCAGATATTACATTTATATTTGAAAGCGTAAGTCTGTTTTTAAAGCTAAAAACTAAGAGCAGCAAATCACAATTAACAGTCAGAGATGAGGTATGGCGTGAGGTTTGTGGATGTGCGCAGGAAGCCTGAGTGTGGAAAGAGAGCCAATTGGCCTTGAGGCCCTGGGCAGGGCCAAGGGGTGACACTTACAGGTCACCTCTCTTCTTCAGTCTTGCTTCAGTCGGAGCAGCTAAGCAGGTAGCACAGGTTTTAGTCTCATTTCCCATTTCCCCCGGTCAAGCCCAGGTCTGGGGATTTTTCTACCATATCACAGTAATTCATGTGTTATGTGGGGAGGACAAATAAAGACTTAAACTATATCAAACATTAGTAATACTGAAACATTCTTCTTTTTTTTTTTTTTTTAATGGTCCATAGCACGAAGGCCCTGGCCCAGGTCACTATAATTTAAGAACACCTCCAACAAGCTCCATTACTTCTTGTTTTCGGTCCAGGGTTCCCCGATTCTTGCCCAGCTGTTCAGTAAGTATTCCGAAAAACAGACACCCCCAGAGGAGTGGCTGGGCTGTAGATCACATGACCTCACCTGTGGGGGTGGGGGGGGCAGGCTGGGAGAACTACAGTTCCATGGAGTGGCTGTGTGTGCAGTGTATGTCAAGGCAGTGAGCAGTGCAGCGATCCAACATCTACAAGCCTGAGAATCGTGGCCAAATTACGGGTCAGCTGAAAATAGCCATCCCAGTAATTGGTCATTGGTTCTTTGACCTGGCTGCTTTGTGGGGGCACTGTTCATGGACTGAAGCGAGCAGTGTGCAAAGGCTGCTCCTGCCACTCAGAAGAGCGCCATTCTTCATGTGGGTGTGGCTGCTCGGCGCTTAAGGAAGCAAAAACTTGAAGCAGAAACATTACTGAGCTACAAGGGATCATTAAGCCATGAGCAATCGCTGCCCCAAGGACTCAGGACAGCAGAAAGAGGCTCAAGTTCATCGAGTGCGACAAAGAAAGGGGATTCCTCAGGTATACAGTGCCTCAAAGGCCCTGAGAAGACCGAGCAAGATTATAAAAGCAGAGCTTGACAATGGTGGCTTTTAAAAGTAGTTTTTGAGGGATGGGAATAGTGGTGCACATCTGTAATCCCAGCTACTTGGGAGACAGATCGGGAGGACTGCAGTCTGAGGCCAGCTGGGCAAAAAGTTAGCGAGATCCCACCTCAACAAATAAGTCAAGAGTAATAGTGAATATTTGTAGTCCCAGCTACAGGGGAGGCATTGGTAGGAGGATCTTAGTTCAGGCCAGCCCTGGGCAAAAATTCGAGACCCTATCTGAGAATAACCTAAAAATTAAAAAGGGCTGGCAGAATGGCTCAAGTGGTAGAGTGCCTGCCTAGCAAGTAGGTGGCCCTGAGTTCAAACTCCAGTACCACACAAAAAAAAAAGTCTAAAGACTATTTTAAATCCCAAAGACTATTTTAATTCCCAGAGTCTCTTTGCTTTTAGTCTGCACCCGAATCTGTAGACTTGCTGGTCTGTAGACTTATTTGAGGAGTTTGGGGAGACAAATACAAATTTTGCCTGTAAGAAAATGGGCTCCCCCTAGGGAGTCACAGAGATGGAGAAGCATGTGGGGAAATGGGCAGAAAAAGACTAGCAGGCCACTGTGTGGCTGAAGGTCACCATCCCTAGCCCCAACTGTGATACCCCAAGCCTTGACCTTCAGAATCTCTGCTCCAGACCCCTGGGCTGCACAGTTGGGGTGGTGGGACCTTTATTTGGCAGAACAATGAGAGGCCCAGCCAGTGAAATGAGAGCCAGACTGATAACAGGAAGCTGGAGGATCCTCACACCTTTATAGGCATCACCAGAAATCCACAAGCAGATGTTTGTCAGAGCCCACAGCACAGAAGAGTCTCAGGAAGACTGAGTTACGCTAACCGAACTCCGAGGAAACTGAGCCAGATGTGGGAAGTGCAGCGTTAATATGTAAGTATCCACTCAGAGGACCCAGAGTCTGGGGCTGCCTCCATTATAGAGTTTTCATGGAAGCAAGAACAACCAGAAGAACTCTTGGTGACGGTGAAATCAGTTCTGGGGGATTGAACTGGATGTTCAGAAGGTGGCTAAACACACAGCAGCCTCCTGAATGGGTGGGCTCTTGGGGCAGGCCCCCTGAATCTCCCATTTTGTGAGCTGGCCTTCCAGGACTCACTCACATGGGTGTCGCATCCTTATTAATAGCACTACTCAATAAAGGCTTCCACTTCCTCTGACGTGTGGCCAGGGCTTGATTAGATTTCCAGGCTGCGCCTTTGCTTCTGGCAAGGCAAACATCCTGTGTTTAAAGTGACTTCTGCAGGCAGCTGATGTCATACACCCGGCTGACCACTCTGCTTCATTCTCAAGAGTGACACTTTCTACTCTCACTGTCTCCTGAACAGACAGCAAGCAGCAAGGAGGGGTGGACATGACCAGTAACAAGAATAGCAACTAGCAACACGTGGAGGGCTTTTTTGGGAAGACTCCATTGAGCCTCAGGCCCTCCTAACAGGCAAGCACTGTACCCTGATTGATGGCCAGGGGTCATACCCAGCCACTGAGACTAAGACTAGAACCCAGGCCTGCTGGACACAATGCCTTGTCCTTGACTAAAGTATCCCTCCAATAGACCCAAGATAAAAATGTCATTGGTTTTCAAGAGTGTATGTGCACCCCCAGCACAGGAAATTGAAGTCTCAGTCTAAATGAGAGCATTCACTTATCTTGCAGAAGAGGGGCATGGTTTAAATAATTGACAACATATTTTGTTCAAGGATTTCAACAGAATGAAACATGATGTTTAAAAAACAAGAGCTCGAGATTCCTTGAGAATGCTTCTGACCCTGGGGTCCACAGGATGGGCTGCAAAATGCCTCACTCTGTAACCCTGGAGCAGTGGCAGAGCACGCTGGGGCTGGGAGGCAGTTTGGACTTCTAAGTGGGACCTGCCAGTTACAGAAGCCAGTCAGTCCAGCCACTTGCTCCTCCCTGCTGTTAGCAGGGAGGCAGATGGCATTCCCTGGGAGAAAGCGCGCTATGAGATTCTGGTAAGGCATGACCCACCTCCTCCAGAGGTGCCAGTGATCACTGAGTTGTCCTACCCTTGTTTCAACACCTCTCCATCCTCATGGTGATCCCAACAGGAGCTGCCTTGGCTCCCAGGACATCTCCCTGGCCCTGTCTTCTTCTGTGAGGGATTCATCAGCCACATCTCAGCAAGCAGCCAGGCACAGGACTCTTGGATTTTGGTGTCACTGTGTCATCAGTGTCACTATTTTCTCTTCTGTTTCAGAAAACCCAGGGCCAGGAGCATATACATCTTCAAGTCAGTTCCCTAAACAGTCCCCAATCATTGCAAAAATGGGCCGAGAACACAGCCTCTTCTTCAACAACACAATTGGTATATAAAATAAAGCAATCTTAGTGCCAAGCTGCTTTGAGTTTTAGCAAGTTCTTCTGTTTGGAAAACTATTGAGCCAGGTGTCAGCGGCTCACGACTGTAATCCTTTCAACTCAGGAGGCAGAGATCAGGAGGCTCACGGTTGGAAGCCAGCCCGGGCAAAATAGTTTGTGAGACTCTATCTCGAAAAAAACCATCACAAAAAAGGGCTGGTGGAGGGGCTCAAGGTGGAGTCCCTGAGTTCAAGTCCCAGTACTGCCCCCCTCCCCACCCCACACACACCCCGCAAGAAAAAGAAAGCTATTTTGCCTATTCCTTGACGGGGATCAACCACAGAACATGATCCATTGCCTGGAGTGACAATTTGGCCTGCTTATCGCCAACAGGATCAGCCTAATCAGCAATTCACTCTCAACCCTGGCCTGTTTGAGCAGTCAGTTTCTTTGCTTATTCCCTAACATTGTGTCTGAGAGACTGGGAATGTGGACAGCCAATTTGTGCAGTGTGGCCTTGGTCCCTTCAACACCACTATATCAGAGTTCAAAGATCTCCAGGTCCCCTTGAAGACTTTCTTGGTCGTCAACATTAAACCATGGCAATGGGGAACCCAATAGAGTGGTGTTTTCTCTTTTTCAACTCCCTGAAAAGAACAATAATTATTCAGTCCAATGAGTATAGTCACGGGCCAAATAACAGCGTTTTGGTCACTGACAGATGGCATTTACAATAGTGGTCCCTGAAGAATGAGACTGAGCAGAAAATTCCTACGGCCTAGTGACGTCTGAACACAGGGCCTTACTCACATGTTTATGGCGACGCCCACTGTGCTGCCAGTCATGTGAAGGTAAGGCACAAATAGCTTGATAATGACTGTGTTACTGATTTGCATATTTCTTATACTGTACCTTCCCTTTCTCTTGTCATGTTTACATGTTTACTGTTCTTTTAACTGTGGTATGTGTGTGGTGTGTGTGTGTGGTATATGGTGTGTGTGGGGGGTGTATGTGATGTGGGTGTGTGGTGGGTGTGTGTTTGTGTGGTGTGTGTGTGTGGTATGTGTTGTGTGTGTGTGTGTGTGGTGTGTGTGTGTGGTGTGTGTGTGGTGTGTGGTATGTGTGTGTTGTGGGTGGGTGTATGTGATGTGTGTATGTGGTGTGTGTGTAGTGTGTGTTGGTGGTGTGTGTGTGTGCTGGGAGTCAAACACAGGCCTTGGGCTTGCCAAGTACATACTCTACCACTGAGCTATACCTCCAGCCCATTTATCATTATTTTATTTATGTTTGTTTGCTTGTTTATTTACGGTACCGGGGTTTGAACTCAGGGCCTACACCTTGAGCCACTCCCCCAGCCCTTTTTTGTGATGAGTTTTTTCGAGATAGAGTCTCTCAAACTATTTTACCTAGGCTGGCTTCAAACCTTGATCCTCCCAATCTCTGCCTCCTGAGTAGCTAGGATTACTGGAGTGAGCCACCTGCACCTATTTCTTTCTTTCTTTCTTTCTTTCTTTATTTTAGTGAGACTGAGGCTTGAACTCAGAGCTTTGCACTTGCAAAGCAGATGCTCTACTGCCTGAGCCATGCCTCCAGTCCATTTGGCTCTGGTTATTTTGGAAATGGGGTCTTGAAAACTATTTGCCCAGGCTGCCTTTGAGCTTCGATCCTCCTTATCTGCCAAGTAGCTAGAATTACAGGCACAAGCCACTGATGCCTGGCCCATTTATAATTATTTTAGAATGTACACCTTCTACTACTAGGAAGTTCCTTGTAAGATGGTATACTGTGTTACACTGGCAGCAGCTTCATGTATCTCACGTTCTGCGTCTCTTGATGGCATCATTTTCTCTTGTGCTGGATTTAATCTCATGCTGTTTTGTTCATCATGGCTCTAGGAGCATAAATGATCTTGGACCATGTCGATTAGTGTTTGCACAACACTAACAAAATCAACTAATGAACACATCGCCACTGTTAAGTGCATGTGACTGCATTTCTGATTTTGAGTCCATTGAGTATCTGGTAAGCAGAAGGCATTGTGCTGGGGTTGGGAGTGGGGCCTGGAGCAGAGATGAAGAAGGAATGGGGTCAAGTTTGGGGAGGGTGGTAGGCGAGACCAGGCTGACAGGGAGCCTGAGAAGCTGGAAATGCTCTACAAAGTCTGGTCCCCTGTGGTCTGAAGCTTCAAGGCGGCCCTCATGCAGGTGACAGCTCTGACAGGAAGATGGGCTGTAATCTCAGGAAGGTGCCAGATCACTGCACTGGGTGTGCGGAGGAATGCCTGTGACAATGAAGGCTGCTGTATGCATTCAGAAGAGGAACAAGGCAGAGAACCCAGGCCTGAGCCTGGGCGCATGCTGGAGGACATCCTGGCCACCACCCAAGGGACCCAGAGGCCGAGATCAGCAGGGAGGAGGGGAGTAGGGGGTCAGGGGCACGGACCGCCATCTGGGCGAAGTCCCAAGGCAGGAATAAATACTTGCAGAAGGGGAGAAGAGGAAGCATGGCCCAGCGGAAAGAGGAGGGGGTAAGCGAGGGCGTGGGAGGGGCACAGCAGTCAGAAGGCTGGGCTGTGAGCCTTGCACGCCTCGCACGCAGGAAGTCCTTTCCACTCCAGGAGTTTCACCAGGCGGGCCGATGCATGGCTGCAGGGCTCAGCACAGGCAGAGTTGGCAAGGAGAACGTTTTTAACTGATAAAGCTAATCAGCTAATTTTTGTTTTTTGCAGTACTGGGGCCTACCACCTTGAGCCACTCCACCAGCTTTTTTTTGTGTTGGGTTTTTTTTTTTTTCAAGATCGGGTCTCACAACCTGGTCTGACTTCGAACCGAGATCTTAGCTAGGATTATAGGTGTGAGCCACCAGCACCCTGGAAATGCTCACATTTCGATAGATTTAAAATACGAAAAAGTCACCTCTCTTCTCTAGACTTACAAGCTCTAATAACATGGGCACTGGGGCAAAAAGGAGAGCCTGTCATCTCCCGGAATTCACTCACCTTTGGGGAAGACACTACCCTGCCTTGCACTCCTGCTGAGCAAGAGGCAGCCGAGCAAGAAGCAGCTGTGCAGCAGCTGGGGAGAGAGGAGGGTCCCTGGAGCATGTCTCTTGGGTCCTTTGCTCAGAAGATGGCTGCAGGGCAGATAGTTCTAAGTCTTTTCTCCAAATGGCTCAAAGTTCTGGCTCAGTTGGGAAGTAGTGACTAGCAGTTCTGCTGGATGAGTTTTCTCTAGGAAGGGGAGGCAGAGGAAGGGGTCATGTCTATTTGTCAGGTTGATGGATGGAAAATTAGAGGAGCCCCTGAGACTAGAATGAGAAAGTGGGTGGGGGAGTTCTGCTGTCTGTATTTAGGGGCATCTCACTGACAGGGAGTGCACCGGGGCTGGCAGGAACCATCTCTCTCTCCCTGGCACCTCAATCACCCCTTTGCTTCTCTCTCAGGTCTGCTTTTCTCCCACCCCTGGAGGCTCTTGACACCTCTTTATCCTATATGATCAAATGTGGCTCCCTCAGCCAGTATCCTGTCAAGGAGGTAACCAGCCCCTAGTTGGTTCCACTTGCGACTTCCCAGGAGAGGGAAACCAGTTGGGGAGCTTGCGTCAGGGGTCCCAAGACCATGAGCAGGGCCAAGGAGGGCCTAGCTCCACAGTGCAGATGTGGCTGCAGGGACCAACTATGTGGGTTGTGTAATTGGGGTGGAGGGAGGCTCTCCAGTGTCCTAAGAGAATAAAGAGACTTTTAGAATAAGAGGGGAGGACCAGTCTGCAGAGATTTCTCCTGGAGGGGAACATTCTACAGGCCTGGGCTATCCTGTGTTCTGAGCCCAGTGAGAGTGTTTGTTAGGCATTGCCTTTGGCTATGGGCTGAGCTTCCATTCTGGAGCTGGGGGGCTGGCACTCAGGCCTGTCTTTCTTATCTCCCTTTCCCCAGTCCTGCTTAGCTATTTGGAATGATGTGACAGTGGCTTTGCAGTCTTTTATTTTTCCTCTTTGTCATATGCCAGTAGTTGTCTCTTTCTCTCTCTCTCTCTGTGTGTGTGTGTGTGTGTGCACACGCTGGTGTGCTCTGGTTTGAACTTGGGGTCTCATACTTGTTAGGTAGGCAGTCTATCACTCCAGCCCTTTGTTGTTTTTAGTTATTTTTTAGATAGGATCTCGCATTTTTGCTTGGAGCCAGCTCAGACTGTGATCTCCCTACTTACGGCTTTCTGTGTAGCTGGGATCACAGACATGCACTCACCATACCTGACTGAGAGTCTCACTAACTTTTTGACAGGGCTGACCTTGAACCGCAGTTTTCCAGATCTCTACCTCCCAGTACCTAGGATTACAGGTGCCAATGTTTTTATAGTACTGTATTTCATTCAGTCTGGGGGAGGCTTTTCCAGAGAGACCAGAGGGACTTTGAATGGCTTTTCCCCTTCACAAGCCCAAACCTGGGACAATAATTCTGAGATGGGGGAAGAGAGGCTGGACAGCCCCAGGTTGACATGGAGCTTGAGCTCTGAGATTGGGTCATCTAGCAATTAGGACCATCACGTGCATCAAATGGAATGTCCAAGAGGGCTTAGAAAAGCCACTGAGCACCCCAGATGGAAGGGCCCATGGTATTTGCTGGGCTCACACCCATTCCCATCATAAGTCCCAAGCGACTTCCCCCAAAGCCTCAACTATCTCACCCCACCACCCCTCCCCCATTAGTTGCTACGATACTGGCTTCTCTAGGCTCTGCCCTGATCCACTGAACAACCCTCTGCTCTTCTACCCCACCCCCACCCTCACAGTTCTCCAAATTTGGCTCCAACCAAAGGGAATGTCTCATCTTGGCTACAAAATCTTGTGCTGGTTCCATGTGAAATTTCCTCTCCATTAAGCCAAAGCATGTCAAAAGTCACAGCGTGGATGGAGACAACTTGTCCTCCTCCTTCCTTCCTCTTCTTTCCCTCCTTTCCCACTCCTACCCCCACCACTGTTCTCTTGGCCTATAGGTGACCCCTTTCAGACCCAGAGGCTGAGTGGTGGGTGCAGGCTTTGAGACTAGGGCCACAGGGGCGGAGGTGACAGGCTGTCTCCAGCATCATCTAAAGTGCTTAATGCCACCAACTACGGCATGGAGCTGGCTGGTCTCCAGCCTATGATTTGTTGCAAAGCCTTACTATCTTAAAAACACAGTTCAAAAGCTACAAGTTCAGAATCAGCAGTTACTTTTTCTTTTTTATTGTGACAAAAATACATCTAATACACAATTTACCATCTAAACATTTCAGAGAATACAGTTTAGTGGGTGTTAAATGTGTCCATAGTGTAACACATCCATCACCACCACCATCTTCAAAATTCTTATCATCTTGTAAAACTAAAACTCATACCTATTAAACAATAACTCCCCATTCCCTCTGCTCCCA